AAAATTTTAAATGTCTAAGAAAACAAAGCTACCAATTATCGAGTGCTTCCTATATGCCAAACATGATGTTAAATGCTTTGTCTTCTCTCATTTAATCCTTACAGCAATCTTTTGAGGTAGATCCTATTATATCATACACATCTTGATGGTGGGAGGAGAAAAATCTGAGTCCAATAGGTGCCCACGTGCCACTGGTGGGCACAGGGAATTGAGAATGGGAAGACTAGCTTTTGAGCCCTGGTATTCACTAGGTGTTGTCATGACTTCTCTTCATCTTTCTCACCAGGACTTTGGCTTCCTCCTTTGTTAATCATGATTATGCCCGATTATCATGAATTGTTATCATTATTTTTTATTTGAGGTGGATCTTTGCTTCAACAGAAACAAACTCCAGACCTATCATTTCACTAATACAATTTCAATCCAGTGTGTCTTAAAGATTTTAAAGATCTACCTTTGAAAGGCAAGGACCATGGAGTTAATTCTTCAGATTATCAATTAATGCTTTAATTAGGAGTACTTGATGGCCCACTGAGGAGAACAGAATATGGGTTTGTGGGTTTGGCTACCGGGAATGCAAAGGTTCTAGGAAAAGCTGAAGGATCGTAAAGGGCAGCTGAAAAGGTGCACAAAACAAAGACTTCACCTAAGTACATTTCATTTAGATTCTGTCTAGCTCAGGACAGTCTTAGAAGTTGGTGTGGAGGCAAGGAAACGTTCAGAGTGTAACACATGGTCCCTCCTGGATGAAGCATGAGTGAAAAAGTGCTGAAGGGCAAAAATCAAGGAAGTCCTGGGGGAAGCCATAGGGAAAATCACAGCCAGAGTTTGGACTTCACCCCACAGGCAGGGAGGACTTTGAGGGCGTCTTAGCAGGGATGACATTAGATGGAAGCAGCTTAAGAGACAGAGGGATGGTAGGGACAGGGTGTGGTTAGGAGACTCCTACAATAATCTAGTGAAGAGATCATGACCTCTGAAACTAGAGTGGAGGGGATAAGAACAGAAAAGGAGGTTTGATATTGCAGAGGGTATGGATGGAAACTGGAAGTGATTGGTGGGAGAGAGGCCTGTCAAGCAGACACCCGAACCACAGCCAGCCAGGGATTCTGGGCACGATAGGTTCAAGAACATCTGTTCTCTTTTCCTCTACTCTCCGCTCAATCAAAAATGTACAAACTTAACATCAGCTGGCCAGTTATTGAGTACCTAAATATGCAAAATAAATGGATAGCCATCTTTGCCATGAAAACCACAGAGAGAAATAAACCTGGTAGGGAGACAGTGAGGCTGGCAGGTGTTCTTGTCCCTTCACGTGGCCACCTCTTTCCTTGGGAAGGCAGTGAAGACAACTGATAACCGAATGGCCTGGATTCCAGTCTCAGTTCTGCCACTGACGGGTGCCTCTCTGACTCGTTTCTCTTCTCTAATTTTAAATGTTGGACCAGAGCTTTACAGCGATCCTCTGCAGAGCTCCAGGACTGCGTGCACAGTCTTTAATATTATTTCATTCGATTCAAAATATTTTCCACTCCTGTTTTCTAATCTCATTCTTCAGGAAGCACTGCACGTACTCAGGATAGGAGTGAGGACCTCCTGTCCGGTCTGGGCTTGAACATCCAGACAAAGCCAAGGGCCTCCTGGAGGAGCATCCCTCGGTGCCCGCCGCCATGGCCGCTCTGCCCTCCCGACCGCACCCCGCCTCGTTCCCACGGCACCTGGCGGGGGGGGCGCCCCCCCGC